CGATCAACCTCTTTCACTGCCCCCCCCCCCCCCCCCACCCACTCTCTATCCAGTCCACATCCCCTCGCACTCCCTTTGCTCCCCTCCTCCCTCCCCTCCTTCTCTGGCCAGTCACAGGCGTACGCACACGCGCACGCACGTCGGCCTGCTTCGCCCAGCTGGCGGTCCATTCCGACGCGTCCCGAAAAAAAAAAACAAAAACAAGCACGCCCCGATCCCTGGCCCCGTTAAACTTCCTCCCCCTGTGGCGTTCTCCCCCTTATACTCATCTCGCCCTACACGCATCCGTACGTCTTTGTCTTTCCCTCTCCTTCCGCCTCTCTCCCTCCCCCCATTTTTGCTCCTTTTCAAGCGGCCAGCCTGTTTCCGGGCCGCTCGCACTCCCCCTCCTCCTCTCCTCTGCCTCCTCCTCCTTCTCCTGCCCCGATTCGCGCGACATCAGGCGCGCGCGCGCACATGTGTCAGCATTGTCCCCTGCACTCGAATGGCCATCGAGCATGCTCTCCCGTGCTTATCGCTCGTACCATGGCCAGCTTCTGCTCGGACTCTCGAAGGATGTGCATGCTGTCTCATTCGACACTCTCCACACGCCCGGGAGGATTTGCAGATGCCCATGAGCGCAGGGACCTCGCGAGTAGGGGGAGGGGATGGAGGAGGATGGACAGTCAGGCGTATGAACCACGTGCCAGGGTGGACTCCGCCAGCCTCCTCCTACGACCTCCATCTTCCTCGCATGTCTCTCTCTCTCTCTTTCTCCCTCTCCCTTGTTCTCTCCTGGCCGTGGAAAAAAGAAAGGAACTATCAAAAAAAAATCGAAGAAAACCACGAATATCTGCCCAAAAAGATACACATTTACACGCCCTAGAACATGCGGAAGAAACCCCCCGTTCCAACTTACATGGCAAGGGTGCCTCTTTGGCCGGCCGGAGTTCCCTCTCCCTCTCGATGCTCTCTCCCTCTCCCCCCACCCCCTCTCTCTCTCTCTCCTGCTCCCTTCAAGTACCAGCATAGACAATATATCCACCAAGAACATGTGTCCACGCATGCTGCGAACAAGGGACCAGCAGCGCACCGCCGTTTCTCCCAGTGGTACAGGCGCGTGTCGTGATTGGTGCCTCCCTTGTTTAGGCAGACTCTTGCTCTGCGCATCGAGCGAAGTGATCTACCCCTCGGGTGGCTCTCATGCTATTTGGTGCTCCCGCCGCCGGGCTCCTGCTCCCTTTCCATGGCTTCCACCTGGCCCCTCCCGGGTGACTCACTCCTGTGCTTGCTTAAGCCTACTCCTGATGTCTCTACCGGCCTATGCCCCTGCCACCTCGGCCCGAGGGGGAAATGAGTGGAGCATGCTGGATCTCGGGGTGTGCTGTGCCCGCGCGGCGTTGCCGACATCCCAAGGAGCATGGTGACAGCCTGGACATGAGCCAGCCGGAGAGCGCTGAAGCGAGCTTGCGAAAGCTTAAGAGAGTCGAAGAGAGCAGAGAGAGAGAGAGAGAGAGCGAGAGAGAGAGAGAGAGAGAGAGAGAGAGAATTGAAGATAGCCGAGCAGGGAGAGAGCGCCCGCGCGCGAGAGAGAGAGAGAGAGAGAGAGAGAGAGAGAGAGAGAGAGAGAGAGAGAGAGCGCAGGCGAGAGACAGAGACAGAGACAGAGAGAAACACAGATACAAGCACAATTTGACGCCCGTACACAAGCCAAAGCCACCTTGTGTTGAATAATAGAGCCCCCCCCCCCCCCCCCCCCCCCCCAGCCCCTGCTTGGCAGCCCATACGCTGTTCCCCCTCCTCTCCTCCTCTCCTGCATATGTGAACTCCTCCAGCCACTGATTGGCAAAGCCCGTCACGGGCCATTGACCAAGAGCCCCACTAACCCCCC